AAAATCCATTCTTTTCATGCTTGTAATGGGCCATCGATTAAATTCTGTGTTCAACCTCATGTCTTGTAGTGAAATTAGAAAAACTTGGGTATTGTTTATGCCCTCGTCATGCTTGATTAGCGATTTATTTAGAGCGTTGACCTTTTGTATCTTGGCACTTGTTTTCATTTCCGTTGCAACTAGGCAAACCGAGCCAATGGGCGTTTTTTATTTGTTGTTTCAAATAACTGTATTTGTTTTTTCATTGAAATATGTTTCTATAATGTGCTCAGCGTGTCAATTTACTTTTACTGTTTTAGGAGTGGTTTTTGCCAATTTTAAAGGAAGTTATTGCCAAATTTACAATTTCGGGTGTATCTTTAACTTGTTTTGTGTTGATGCGTTGCTTGAATCATCATGTTCCAGTTTAGTCATTTACACTTCCAGAGAAAAGTTTACAGAACTATGTCTTACTAAGAGGAGTAGAGGAAGCCATGATTGTTTCATCTATTTTATGAAGACATTGAAAAAGTTTTTGTAAGAGTTAAATTTGAGGCACAATTCTTGAAATAAATTAATTTTGGTCAACGTTGTGTATTTGGGATTTTTCAAGTATTGCCCCGGGGGCGGAGTACAAAATGAGGTTTTGACATAAGAAATTACCCCGCATAGCGGGGAATTTGCTTCATTTAGTTGGGACGCCTGGTCTAATGCCCCGCTATTCCCCGGGTATGGGGGTGCGGGGCTTTCCACTGACTAGTGCATTATAATTTTCGCCCAAAACATAATACTCTTAAAATGTTAAATGGCTTATTTCATTGAAAATGTTTGGAAAACACACCATCCTTTCGCTCTTTAGAATGTTTTCTGCGCCTAGCATATGAGAGAATCGTCGGAGTGGGTTTTTATCATCCCCAGGGCGGATAACGTGACACTTGTCTCTGGGATTAAAATGAAACGTTATGCAATCAATATTTTTCATTTCCTTAGCCTTTAGCTAGTCTCCAAAGCCGAAACAGCCATGACGGACAAATTCCAAGAATCAGAAAGATTGTTTTTGCAGGATTGCTGATTTAAGAACAAGAAACTCCAACTAATATTTCGCTGAGGACGGCTGTCAACCAGCTACAATTTAAAAACCATTAAGTGATATTTCGCTTAAGTCGACATAACGTGCTGAGCGCTCTTTGTCATATAGCTGTAGAGATATTTTGGGGATATAAATCAGCTACATATCGGACGAAAGTTACTTTTCCAGTGTCCTGTAAATCACCTTAGTTGAGTGTCTCTCACCGTTAAGTGTGCTAAAATAATTTGTTGCCCCGCTTTGGGTAATTTCTTTATGATTATAAGATTGATCTTAATCTGACCCCCTCGCTAAGACATTTTTTACAGAAATGCGGCACAAACGATGTTCACATTAACCATGAAGCGCACCTTTTCGTGTGGTCAATTGAAGTTATTTAAGTTAAGAAGCATTTTCCACTGGTTTATACAAAATGATTGAGTTCTGAAGTTGTCGGATACACCGTTCTGAAGAACTTGAACTATTTTTAAGGCTGACATCGTTCTAGACAGATTTTAAATGAAAATTTTCAACAGT